GGCAGCAGGACCCCCTGAGTGACAGGGTGAGAGAAGCCATCAGACAGGGCAGTCTGACATCCAGTCCGAAACTCACCTCACCAGTCAAAAAGGAGAAGGTAAGTTATGGACATGTTTTGCAGTCATTAAGATCCAGTTCAGACCAGATTTTTCAAAACTGGCTGAAACCGCTAAATAATTAGCGGAGGAAAACCTGGCTAAAACCCTTAGCGTTCATACCAGACTTTTCATAACCGGTTTTGTAAAAATCCTGTCCGGTGAATATCCAATTAATCGGTCATGACTGCAGTTTGAACAACTTGTCCTTGGCCTTCTTGTATGTCTTCAGGTTGTTTACCTTACTGCAGAACTGATCCTTTATCTTTGAGAAACCAGCTGCAGACTCCTCCAACATTTTTGTTTCGGGAGAGCCCTCCCCCCCAGCTTTTTCGAATTCGGCGACTCCTGCTATATATTCAGCAGCGTTTTGTCTGCCGACCAGGTTGCGTATGCTGATTCCATCACAAAATGAAGAGGAACCGGAGAAAAACAGTGGAAACGAACTCAAATTGGTCAAAACAACGCGATCAAAAAAGCTTGCAGGTCGCACATGGCCAGGATGCTGACCCCGTGACCCCGAAATTATGATGCAAAAACCGGTTTGATAAACCCTTAGAGTTCAGACCAGGTCTTCAGTGGAAAAAACCCTCAAAAACCACCTCCCGAGGTGTATGGTTTGTTGGTTTTCCATGCAATTGAGGGCACATTGCTCCCAGAGCACATTGCTACTCCATTTTCAAGTTCACTTCCACACTTGAACTCTCCGCATTTGCTATAACTTTAGGGCTGACTTGTCTCAACTCAATGTTGGTCATGGAGTTCAGCCTTCTCAAAACAAGCCGGCTACCGGCGAAAATCGCCGCCTACTCAAATTTTTGCGCCGGCTACTTTCGTCAAAATTTTCAAATTTTTGCGCCGGCTACTTTCGTCTAAATTTTCAGAAAAACAAGTAAGCTCCGTTACATTTTCTCACAAACTTCACCGGCTCATTTCTTCTGACGAACTTCAGACAAATTTCTGCTAGCTTTCTGGATCTGAAAACTGCTTCTTACTTCGCCTCCTGTGCAGATTTCTAGTGCATGAGTCAGCGTTTGCTTCTACGAGCGGCCCGCGGCCGGCCAGAGCGGCCGAAACTTTACGGGGGGAGGGTCTCGTTCGGGGCTCGAGTTGTATCCGCGGAGCTGTATCGCTCGAGCTAGGCGGAACTTGCTTCGTAAACTCGTTGCTCACGAAAATTTATCAAGCCGCTACCTTCCCAACTTCTCCCGGCACTAGTAATATTCCTGCTACAAATAACTAGTACAAATCACGTCAAAAAATATCGAGACATGTATAGAAGCGTGTTCATATCTTTCATACACAGAGACAAATTTTCAAAAACAAATACGCCATCAGTGAGATTTCACAGCTGTTTCATTCATCAAAAGTTCTGTCGATCGTAAAATGATCACTCATCTGTTGTCTCCACTAGTGTGGCATTTGTAGCTTAATCACGGCTAGCCAAAAATCAGCGTCAAAACCCCGGAATAAAAACACCAATTTGAATTTGAATTTTTTGCAAGATTTATGAAGGTTCTCCCCCAAAAAACACCCTTATGCTGGTTGAAAGACAGCATAGGGGTTCAAATCACAGCATAGGGGGTCCAAATTACAGCATAGGTGGTCTCTATGCTCAAAAGGCCTGGCAAGAACACTGATGTCGGTCTAAATCTGTATGTAAAACTGTTCCCTCATGTTCAAGTCCAATTGGAAATGTTGGTCTGGTGACGTCAAACCGAGACCTAGGGTCAAATCACTTCAGACCTGATGTGGTTAGAGGTCTGTGACCTGGGCACATTCTACCGCGATATGCTGGGCAAATTTGCGTCCTTGGTTTTCATCCACCTTTCACATGCACAACTAGAAAATACCGGTTCTAGCCAGGATTTTGTTTTACCAATTTAATTTGTTGCTTCTCGGATTGCCTTGTCCATTTTTTTCTGATTTACAAGAAAAAAAAAATTTGCTCTAAATTAACTGCAAAGTGCTCAATGAATATTTTGGCCTCAACGGTTCGAGAAAGTCCTTTTTTCCCTAGTTTTTCAATGTAAGGCTACACTAATTTAAATTGTATGGTTCTCGTTTTTTTTCAGAAAAAATATGAAGCGACAGGGCGAAAAAAATAAAAACAGGACTGGTCTAGGCATCCTGTTATAGCCCCAAATGCTACGATTTGAGCCATGAAGTCAACAAAAAAGGCCGGGTTAAAATTTAAAGTATAAATTTTGAACTTTTAATCAAACCACTGCATTGATAGATGGAAAAAACTGTAACAACTAGGAAGAAAAGGAATTTCCTCAACTGTTGGGGGCAAAATATGAGCATTTTTGAGTTGATTCAGAACCAGAATCTTTTTTTTTTTTTGCAAATCAGAAAAAATGAGAGGCGAAT